AAGAATTAACTGTTCCTCTCTTCCGGGTGTGGATATCTGATGTTTTACGAAGACTCGAGGCTTCAGTGAAGCCAGGATGACCCCAGAGAAAGGAATTGACAAAAATTTAACAAGCAAATAGGCCAACAAAGGTTCGTATTAAGAGATACCTCAAAAGAAAATATCATCTGATGAATGTAGGTGTGTTTATGAGTTATGGGTGTCCCCTGTGAACTATCAAATATGGAAAAGATTTTAAGTTATGCGTGTAATTTGATAAGCAGCTGAGATGTGTTTATATCATACAGAGTTTCCTTTCAGTCGTTATTTCGTCACTCGCTTGTTATCTGTCAAAACGTGCAACGACGGAAAGTTCAAAGATACTAGACCCTGTGTGTGTGTTTATTGTCCACTGTAGTTACCTGACAATAATTCACGTTAAGTGGACACACCCTCGGGCTAACCCGAGGCCCACATTACTCACAGCAGCGTAACCCTACCTGTTCATTTGATGTCAATGGGCGGAAAGTTTTGATAACATAGATTTGTGGAAGAAGGAAGCGAGATTATGATGTTTATTTACATACAGGTATAGAACGATAACCTCTGACACAAAAATACAGCTCATAATCTGTCAGCCAGATATAAATGTACGTAGTTTCAGGGAATCAACTGGTCAGTATTAACAAAGTGTGTAACATTACTTGTATCATGCAATGGTGCATGTATGTTTTAGGGCAGTGCACACAAACCCATCACATGATATTGCCCAAATCAGTAAAATTAATTGCAATACTACTCCTTATTTTTCTATGAACAATATATGTGGACCTCCAAGTTCTCACTAAATCATAAAATACGCTGCATATTGCATGTTTCATTGTATTGAAATATTAGAAACATGTCTTGCCCACTTACAATATACTTGACCTTGTAAAGTGATGTAAGTACCCTTTGTTGTGTGTATCAGGGTGTATGAAGAAGTCTGTACCAAGCGCCATCAAGGGAAAATACTTTGATTAGTGAAATCAAGTCTTTTTCATTACTATAATTGAAAAGGTCTGCAGTAGAGCTGACAATATACAAGTGAAGCTACAAGGGATATGGTTTGATCTGATCCCTACACCAGGCCTTTTGTTTTTGTCAAGAAGTGACGATCATGGGCATCTTGTGCTGTCATGGATGTCCATAACAAATATTACCTCATATGATCTGAATTATTTGGTTCCACATAAGGCTGGGACAAATCACACTTTTCATCGTATATACTAAAGGGGATAGAGAAATATGTAGATTTGTCCTGAGGAAGCCCAATAAGGGTGAAACATGTTGACAATGATAATAAATTGAAGAAACATAATAGGAAACTTGTTGTTTACCTTGTATTGAACAGGAACAACTTAATGCATTGAAATATAATAGAAAGTTTTATATAAGGCAGATTGGGGAGAGCATTAAGTCTGAGCAGAGTTACATATAAGACTACATTTAAATTTTCTGAACTCTCTTTTTTTCAAACATAAAACTTGAAGAATATCAGCCTGATATGAAGACAAACAAGACCGCTGAGCACTGCTGACAGATCACAAATCATAGAAAACATTCTCTCACTTTCCACAGATATAAACAGAGTAGGTAGATCCAGTAGTACATTTGGTTGATACTTGACTACACTACATTTTCATTGCATGTGATTATTCATGGACTTTGTTGATCTGATAATAAATTTTATTTATTTGACAACAATTGCAAAAGCAAATTTTTCCAACTGATATTTACCAATCTTGTTGGGCCGGATAGAAGTGCATAAGGGATCTTACTTTGTGAGGAAACAGGAGTACACAGGGAAAACCCACTTGGTCAGGCAGGTGAAGTTATACCTATTATGTCCATTCCAGGAATCGAACCTTGGATGTCTGGGTGAAAGGCATACCACTACATCACCCGACCACTTTAATGGTACTTTTAGACTTATGTTATACAATTTACGCAGTGGTGACTTTATCTTTCATCCAAAAACTCTTGAGTGGTCCCGTAAGTTGGACAGCCTGGATCCAGCCATTTTGTTTACTGACAGCGATTGTAGATTAAGACCCAAATTTAACTTCAGTAAACGGTCATTGTAAACAAACTAATGGATCATTGTAAACAAACTAATGGATCATTGTAAACAAACTTATGGATCATTGTAAACAAACTAATGGATCATTGTAAACAAACTAATGGATCATTGTAAACAAACTTATGGATCATTGTAAACAAACTAATGGATCATTGTAAACAAACTAATGGATCATTGTAAACAAACTAATGGATCATTGTAAACAAACTTATGGATCATTGTAAACAAACTTATGGATCATTGTAAACAAACTTATGGATCATTGTAAACAAACTAATGGATCATTGTAAACAAACTTATGGATCATTGTAAACAAACTTATGGATCATTGTAAACAAACTTATGGATCATTGTAAACAAAATCAGTGTTAATTCTTTGTAATATCATATTACAGGTTTTATAGTATAAAAAAGCAATATCTATGCTACTATAAAAATTAGAATCCCTGTGTGCAGTGTGTAGAATAAGATAGCTAGGTACTTCAATCAGATAACTTGTATCTTAACAGGTTGTGCTACAGGGTCTACATAGGAAAACTTAGCATATCTTAATTTCTTAGGATTGTCAGAGCTTTCACTAGTTTGGGGTAGGGCATTCTTTCATAAGAAAATCAGTGAACTGGGAAGGAAAGTTTCGGGAGTATATTGCAAATTTTGGAATTAGGTTATTTATATGAAATGGTTTCATTTGGGAACGGGGCCCATTATCGTCCCCAAAAAACCCTCAACAAAAGTGGAGTTTGTAATAAGATTTTTTAATAAAGGATTAGGACAAAAAAAATTATGAAATTAAATAAATGCTTGATTTATTTTAGTTTACAATCTTATTTCTTATACACAGATATAGGTATATATAAAGAACATACATATAAAGAAACAAATGTATTTTAAAGACAATGCTGTTTGAAACGCTTGTTTCTGTGACCCTCTCATGAGAGTTAAATCAATGGTCCTGCATTTGATGTGTCATGTTATAGATAAGAGGCCATGTGTGGATCAATGACTGGATGCAAACAGCCTAACAGGAGTTTTTTACAACACACAATTCCAGGAGGCTAAGAGTTTAAAATTCCAACTGTCTCTTGACTTCGTTAGAAATTGCTTCAAATTTTTTATTGATATTCACAATATTTCAGACATTCAGGCGATTGAAACAATTGGAATAATATTAAGATCTGACAATTTTTACAGCAATAAGCATGCCTTTAAACATTCTTTTACCTTGTATTTTTGTGTGTGATTTTTGTCAATGCTATGAAATGGATTTCACTATTGACTTTGACATACCATTACTTAGAACTGAATTCAGGCAGGTGTGTGATTACGACTATTAGGACTATGAATTATTATGCCAGATGTAATATTGTGGTTGATAATTCTTGCATCAATTTTTTTTTGTGGTTTGTATTTAATTACATGTACATTCTGTAATATTTGCTAAATTGTCACCAAATTTCATGTACAGCCTACATGTTTATGTTGTATGTTAATAGCTTAACATTGCCCAACATTTTTCTCCTTCAATTCACACTTCAGTCTTTAGGGGCGGGAAATGACTTTTGATTCTTTTAAATGACACGATAGTGTACATTACATATATTGCATTGTTTTAAGTACATATTTAAATGATACGATAGTGTACATTATGTATATTGTAGTGTTGTCAGTACGGATAATGTGGTGTGGATCAGTTCTTGACAGTCTAGTACAAATTTTTGTTTAGATCAGAAGTCAGAATTACTTCTAGGTCTGACCAGAAGCCAGTTATCTCAGAAAAGGGGAAGTAATTCCTGATACAGTATGTTGTTTTTATCTTCAATCTATCATAAATGACCAACGACTCTAAATATAATATGTGAAGGGAGGTAATCCAATATGGCGGACAGAGAACTCGAGAATGATAACCCAAAGAATGTCATGTTCCTGCATATAGTACACATCCCCCCCTTTGACACGACAGTTTTTGCCTAAAATGTGCACTATAAGCACAAATTTACGGTATATATCGAACATTAAATAGTTCTATAGCAATATAATTTCTTTGGTGCTAAGTTCTTGATCACTGCTTGATCTGATAAATGTTTGATCCCATACTTTGTAAATTGGATTTCTTTTTAGTCTACCTTTTAGTTTGTTTGATGTGATCCTTTTTGGATCGCTGTTTCACCGGTTGATGGCCCTAATGTCCTTTTTATGTGTTGACAGGCCATTAAGATTGTAATAATAATAAATAGTCTGGTCACTGTTACTTAATTTGATTTCACTTTCTTTAGTTGAGAAAGATGATCCATGTGGATTTTCTTCATAGGAATTAATTTCATTATTCTAATTGAATATATATCCTCATTTTTTCGTAGGCATTTTAAATATCAAAATTGAATTTTGAAGCTGGTTTTTTGGCAAAACGTTTGTGTATTTGTTCTAAAGTTAAAGCTACTTATATAGACCAAGACATTATATCTGTTGATGCATATCCCGATTTGATGGTTCCTCTATCTATGACAAATTACTGTGGTTGATTAAGTCTGACGAGATCTTTATATAAGTTTTAGTCATAGAGACTCTCAAAATTCCGTTTTACTAAAATTGGCATCAACTACATACCCAAAATTTGTCTTTATGTTCTGAGGGAGTGATTCATAGCTTCAGTGTTATAATTCTTGTCTGAAGTCCGAATACAAAAACATGTTATTATCACACGCATTAAGAAGCAGATATTCACATGTGAGATTTGTTTGTATGATAATGTATATTATTAGGTTAGCTTTATAAGCAACTTTTTTATTTTTGGTTTAAGATCTGATTAATTATTTTACATACATCGTATACTTACATTGTCATTATGACTAATAATGTGGATTTAAAGCAAATTACTCTCTGATCAGGAAAGTCATTGTGAAGTGCACAACCTGTTTTAAATTTTACCACAACAAGGAAGTCAACTTTAGTTGTTAGGACTATAGGTAGCTATATCAATGTTAGTAGGACTGTTCAGGGATCTGGACATAAAAAAAATCATTTTTGAAACATCTTGGATTTGATGAAGTATTCAATTTGGGAATTATGGAGTAATGGTATCTGTAGCAGTATAGAATACAACAGGAAAGCAGGATTGCTAACTGTTGTATAAGACATGGTTTGTAGACAGAAGGAACTAGTTTTGTTTCATTGAATTGTTCACACAGCTATAAAAATAGCTTTGTCTTGTTTTTGTCATATAATAAGGTATTGTTATCAATTAATAGAACAAATTGTAATTATTTTCTTGTATTCCAATTTGGAAGGTGTTCTGTACTTTATACATACTTGTATTGGTTGATTTTCTAAAACAGGATGAAACTATTATATAACATTTCTTTCTCTGTTATCAATTACATATTCTTTGAAATTCTTCAAATCAAGTACTTTGTAAACAGTTGATGTTTTGAATACCTAACTAAGGCCTTGTTTACTTTGAAAAGTCACAAGTACAGCTAGATATAAACATATAAGAAATGTAGATCTTGTTTGTCAGATAGTTTATGCTGTATAATACTGATAATGAAACTGTACATTGAAATACTGAATTGGTACATTAAAAAACTGAAAATATGCATTGAAATAGTGAAAAGGTACATTAAAATACTGAAATGGTGCATTGAATTACTGAGATGGTGCATTGAAATACTGAAATGGTACATTGAAATAGTGAAATGGTACATTGAAATACTGAAACGGTACATTGAAATAGTGAAATGGTACATTGAAATAGTGAAACGGTACATCGAAATAGTGAAATGGTACATTGAAATACTGAAATGGTACATTGAAATACTGAAACAGTACATTGAAATAGTGAATTTGTAATGATCAAGGTGAATATGATTTTAAGCTATACACATTATTACTTATGAATGTTGCTTTAACAAAAACTTGGATGCTTAATTGAGATCAAAGCAATATATTTATCTTGACCTAGTGACCTAATTATTGGTAATATACAATTTGTGACCTAATTAATGGTGTACATGATTTTTGACCTAATTATTGGTGTATGATTGGGCTCGCATTTTAACATCAAATTGAAACAAAAGGACATTCTCTACTTTAAGGCAACATGATCTGTTATGCTGATTAATGTCAATGAACTTCATTATATGATATCATTATATAATTTCATAAATTTACATAAATACATGCACAGTCACTGGCCAAAAAGGAGCTCAAAGTATATGTACAACTACACCCTGAACTCTGTTATTTGCTGGGAATATATAGGAAGCACTTGTTCCTTTTGTAAAGGAAAACTTAATATAATGAATGAATCAGATATTCTGATTATTTCCTATTATACATGTATATGTATGTGTAGATCCATTCGATTCAGTGATCAGAATTTTCGAAATACTGGTACAGGCTGTATTTATGTGAAGATAAGCCCAATCCCAGCCTAGTAAAAATCCCTATTGCGGTTTAGTAAAATTATTCTAAAAATGTACCTTATACTATATATGCCAGCTGACCAATCTGTGATCTTGGGTAACTTTGTATCTGTACATTTATTTAACAGCTGTAGAGATCAGGATGTTAAATGTGCAGTAAGCTTGTTCACGTTTTGTTTTCCTTTCCTGTTTGGAACTTTTCCCCCTGACTTTTCCTGGAGTATAAACATCTTTAAGCTGTGTTTAGAACTGATGTTAAGACAAGCTAGTTTTATCTGTCATGTTACCATTAATGTATATAGATAATATTTATAATGTTTAATTAGATCAGATAAAAAAAATTCCATCAAAGCGTCGAAGCTTTTCGCTGAGCGGACTTTTTTAAAAGACCAGTGAAGTGAGATTTTCAAACTGGATAAAGGTGTACTGGTAGGTTATAGGTATTGTAGATGTAGTTTGTCTAGATTTACAGGAGAAAAAGGAAAAGGATGAACAGACTGCTGTTGTGTAAATGATGAAAGCTGTTATAATATCATCATTTAGGTGAAAGTGAATATGTAATTGTAAGAAAGTAATTATTTCAGTTGTAAAATCTGTTCAATGAAGATAACTAGTAATTATAATGAATATACAATTTTAGAGATTCTTCATAAAAATCTTTAATCCTGTGGAGTCTGCAGAAACTTTTTCTGACATCACTTTTTGTAAGTTTATGTATAAACATTTATTTTTTGAATCTTATCCATATATCCCCCAACAGATCAGATCTAGACCATGCATGCAGTAATTACATCTCCATATCTGTATATAGATTGCAGCTTCTATACTACTGGTACATAATTTAGGTCAGACTAATTTGTACAGTATATAAGTTTGACATGACTGCTTGTACTGATCAAGAGTAAAGAATGAGCCATACAGAACCGGACTAAACACCATCGAAATGGTAACAGTATTTGCTTATTGTTGAAGCTATGAGAGAACTAGATATAGTTATTGGTCTAGAGTTGTTGATAGAGAATTTTTTCTCTTAAACTGTTCTTGTGAAATATACATATTTGATGGGGATCATTCAGTGATATTTTTATCCTCCATATCTTTCGCCTGTGTAAAGTGAATCAGTTTGTGACTCTCCATTTAAGTTAGATGTGTACACTTTCATTATCTAATATTTTATTTCAGAAATACATGTTATGTTTACTTATACTGACATGTCACATATAATATTGTTTACATTCTTCTTATCATTGTTTTTTTTCTTACTTGATTGACTCTTCTCTTTGCTTTCAGGTAGTCAGTTGACCCCTGAGGACTTGCAGTGATGCCGCCCCCTCCACCTCCCCCACCCCCGGGGGCACCGCCTCCTCCCGCAGTCAAATCTGCAGGTCGTCCCGTGGCAAAAAAATCAGGAGGGACAACTGATCGAGGGGCTCTATTAAGTGCCATCCATAAAGGGACTGCACTAAAAAAAACTGTGACCAATGACCGTAGTGCCCCAGCTGTAGGAGGTAGGTTTTACACACGTAGACAGGGTTTAGATGAGATTTGTCAAATTGGTGTTGGAACTTAGCTCTTACCAAAAAAGTTGACCATGCATGAAAATGGGCTGGTAGACGTATTTTTCTTGGTGATGTGTACGTGGTAAATATGAGATATTGATGTGAAATATTAGGTAGGGGAAAGACGTAGGTTCATATACTTATGTCTTGGAACGTATAAGATGATACACAGAGTGTGTCATGTTTTTCAGTATCATGGATACATGCAAAATATGAAGAAACAATATTTGTGTATTTAGGCGAAAAATTCCTTGTTTTAAAATTAATCCAATTATTTATTATTTATGAAGACTGTTTGATAGCTGGCTAGTATATAAAGGGACGAGGAGTATCAGTTCCCATCTTAGTCTGCTCTCATATCAAATAGAAAAATAAAACTTTTGAAATGTTTCAAAACTGCAACGAACGATTTCTCCATGTAAATGGCACGAATTTCCAGACATAAGAGTATTGAAGTTAGCAAGTCCTAGTTAAAGCAAGTACTTAGTCAAGCTTACTAGTGGGAACAAAAGTCTGAACCCATCTGACTTAGAGCCAGAATGAAATTTCACTTTAAACAGTACCTAGTGTACATGTACATAAACATCAGATTTAGGGAGAAGATTTCTTGGTTTGTCATAAAACTGTAAATGAGTTTAGAAACTTGTTGAAGAAATAGCTCTTTACAAATACGAAAATTGTGCTTTTGAAATTGTATAAGTAAATGTGGATATGCCGTCAAACCTGTCTTAAAGATCACCTGTCTATAAAGACCACCTGTGTATAACAATTATCTGCCTATGAAGGCCACTGGTTATGGGTCCATATATATTTGAATTCTTAGAAATTAAACCTCTATATAAAGGCCACTTTTCTTGCTCCATTGAGTGCCCTCTATAGACAGGTTTGACTGTACAAAAGATCATACTGCAGTTTTGTAGTTTTGCTTGTGCTTATCCTTGGTGCTAACTTTGAATTCCCTCCCCTTGGTGCCTATGTTTTTACCTAGCTTTGACACCCTTATCCTTTAGGTAACAAGCCTTCGCCAGCAGGTGGTGGCCGTGGAGCGGGCCCACTGATGCCCCCTGGTGGAGGGGCCAGCAAATTCAACACAGTAGCATGTCACAATAATCGGCCCAACAGTAGAGAACTTCCGAACACATGGCGTGGTGCACAGGATGATGGTAAGATCAAACATTCTTTGGTGTGAAGCACAAAAGTATTTATTCGGAAATAAGTCCCTTACTGTTAATAAAACAACCCTTAATTAGCCTTTGCTGTGTAGTAGAATTACAGACAGATATTTCATTTTCCTGTAATAAGCCCACCCCTTGACTTTGAGATTTTGTATGGTAGCCCAAGTTAACATGCAGAATATTTGAGTTAAGATCACTGTGTGGAATTGAAGTTGATAATTGCATCCTGTCACTCAAAGCCTAAAGCTTATCATTGAATTTTGATAAAAATAATTTTGAACAATTTTCATGAATGATTGGAGGAAGAAAGTGAAAATGTTTCAAACAAATTAATTTCAACATGTTATACATCTACTGAAATGTAAGTTGCAACCAGAAAGGTTTCTAGTTAATGGCAATTAGTGATTATGATAGCGGATGGGTACTGGTGCCAGTTTTTTTTTCAGAATGGTTCGTAAAGCATTTAAAGATGACAGATAGAGAAAAATGTCAATGTTGGTGATTAATTGCAGATGACATGTCATTTATTCTAGATTTTTTTACTCAAATGAGTGCTTATAGATGAATATTGTATTTTAAGGAAGGTTCATAGTGATGTATGTAAATATTACTAAAATCTACTAAATAAAGATACATCATATAGATATATAACATATATATATATATTACCAGGATGAGGGGAGATATATATATATTACCAGGATGAGGGGGGATATATATATTATACCAGGATGAGGGGGGATATATATATTATACTAGGATGAGGGGGGATATATATATTATACCAGGATGAGGGGGGATATATATATTATACCAGGATGAGGGGGGATATATATCTTATACCAGAATGAGGGGGGATATATATATTATACCAGGATGAGGGGGGATATATATATTATACCAGGATGAGGGGGGATATATATATTATACCAGGATGAGGGGAGATATATATGTATAACATATATATATTACCAGGATGAGGGGAGATATATATATTATACCAGGATGAGGGGGGATATATATATATATATATATATATATATATATATATATACATATATATATTACCAGGATGAGGGGGGATATATATATATTATACCAGGATGAGGGGGGATATATATATTATACCAGGATGAGGGGGGATATATATATTATACCAGGATGAGGGGGGATATATATGTATAACATATATATATTACCAGGATGAGGGGGGATATATATATTATACCAGGATGAGGGGGGATATATATGTATAACATATATATATTACCAGGAGGAGGGGGGATATATATATATAACATATATATATTACCAGGATGAGGGGGATATATATATTATACCAGGATGAGGGGAGATATATATATATATATAACATATATATATTACCAGGATGAGGGGGGATATGAATATAATACCAGGAGGAGGGGGGATACATATATATGTATCCCCCCCCCATATATATATAATGCCAGGAGGGGGATATATATATAATGCCAGGAGGGGGATATATATATATAATGCCAGGAGGGGGATATGGATATATATATATATAATGCCAGGAGGGGGATATGGATATATATATATAATGCCAGGAGGGGGATATGGATATATATATATATATATGTAATGCCAGGAGGGGGATATGGATATAGATATATATATAATGCCAGGAGGGGGATATGGATATAGATATATATATGTAATGCCAGGAGGGGGAAGGGGATAGATATATAATACCAAGAGGAGGAGGAGACATGAACATTACAACTAGAAGATGGTGCAACTGACAAACTTGAGAATAGAATATTGATGACTTTGGTGATGAACATTCACTTTCAGGAGTAGCCAAAAATAACATGATTAATCAGAAACGAAAGCAGAGTCTCTCAGGTGCCCAAAACATTAAGCAACCTCTGAAGTCAAGCTATTCTGATGGTGGTAACAGAAATTTCACTTCCTTAGCATGTGTCTCGTGGTGGAAAGCTTTTCATTTTTTTAATCTCTGTCAGTGAGATGTTTGCACTTTTTTTTAGTCAGAAATGTTTATCATTTTGCTGTGTTGATGAAGTCATAGGTTGTTTGTTTTATTTCTCATTGTTTTCATTAAGTTATAAGTGTTGTAAATTTTGGTTTAAATTAGAAGAATTTCAACAAATATTGCCTGATATGCAACTCCAAGGGGATGGAAAGCTTTGATTTTGTCAAAGTTCAAATATACTACGAATAAAAAACTGCAGTCACCCTTTGCCTTGTTTGACCTTTTATCAGTTAGGTGAAAATACATGGTGGACTTAGGTTTGGTGGTACTACAAGTTTATATATATGTTTCCTGCATTTAAGGATGAATGTAAGACTTTGGGAAAATGTTAAGTTTAAATTCTGTGAGGGCAAAAATTGCAATTAAAAATTCCTGAGCAAAAATGTATCCATGTCAGCTGATATTACAAACATGACAAGGTGTTATCTGTTAACGATGCAATGTGAAATTAAATATGCTGTATTTATTTCAAACTTTGAAATTTAGTGTCCTTTTCAGCTACCTGGTTCCATTAATTTGATTCAATATGGATTTGCTCTCCTTTTCCAGTGGTGATAGAAATGATTTTAACTCCTGGTAGGAAACGATTTAGATGTCCTGTTAACTGGTGTGCATGTGGTTGATTGGTATGAAATGATTGCAGGTTCATATATTCATGAAAATCATGGATTGTCATTTTCATTTATTTATAATGAATATGTAATATAAATTTTAGGATGAATCTTCCTAATTTTTTGTTTTAACAAAACTGACTGATCTAATATTGAAACTAAAATTTTAAGATTTCTTGCAATAAGGAAGGAAGCCTGTACTTGTAGACATTACAGCTGTTTTACTATCAGGAACTGACACTTTGTGTTTTAGACAAGTATTTATTATCAGTAATAAAGACTACATGTATGATATTGGTGACTGCGGTGTGTATATATTATATGATCCATTGTATTTACTGTACCCATGTAACATGTAAATGAACTCATGTATTTAGACATAAGTGATATCAGAGCATGACATTGAAATGATGTTACTAATTTTCCCAAAGCATTAGGAGATTTTGGAGTTATATAGTCAAGTTGATCCCAAAAAAGTCTCTCTTTTTTTCAAAAATATTTGCCAGAAAAAAAAGAGAGAAAAAATCTTGCTTCTGGAAAGAATCCTAAATTTGTTTCCACTTGAAGTCTCATTAGTGGAACTCCTCTTTTTCAGCATGTAAAACAACTTACTCCAATGAAAAATTCTTAGAGTCTAAGTCTTGTTTCTGAAATATATTAAATTGGAACCCTTGATTTTAACATTGACCAGGGATATGAGTATCTAGTCATACCAACAGCTACAGGCTATCATCATGTATTGAAACATGGCCACCAGTGATATGAGTATCTAAAACATGGCCACCAGTGATATGAGTATCTGAAACATGGCCACCAGTGATACCAGTATCTAAAACATGGCCACCAGTGATACCAGTATCTAAAACATGGCCACCAGTGATGAGAGTATCTGAAACATGGCCACCAGTGATACGAGTATCTAAAACATGGCCACCACTGATACCAGTATCTAAAACATGGCCACCAGTGATGAGAGTATCTGAAACATGGCCACCAGTGATACGAGTATCTAAAACATGGCCACCAGTGATATGAGTATCTAAAACATGGCCACCAGTGATACCAGTATCTAAAACATGGCCACCAGTGATGAGAGTATCTAAAACATGGCCACCAGTGATACCAGTATCTAAAACATGGCCACCAGTGATAAGAGGATCTGAAACATGGCCACCAGTGATACCAGTATCTAAAACATGGCCACCAGTGATGAGAGTATCTGAAACATGGTCACCAGTGATACGAGTATCTAAAACATGGCCACCAGTGATACCAGTATCTAAAACATGGCCACCAGTGATGAGAGTATCTGAAACATGGCCACCAGTGATACGAGTATCTAAAACATGGCCACCAGTGATATGAGTATCTAAAACATGGCCACCAGTGATAAGAGTATCTAAAACATGGCCACCAGTGATGAGAGTATCTGAAACATGGCCACCAGTGATACCAGTATCTAAAACATGGCCACCAGTGATAAGAGGATCTGAAACATGGCCACCAGTGATGAGAGTATCTGAAACATTGCCACCAGTGATACGAGTATCTGAAACATGGCCACCAGTGATACCAGTATCTAAAACATGGCCACCAGTGATACCAGTATCTAAAACATGGCCACCAGTGATACGAGTATCTGAAACATGGCCACCAGTGATAAGAGTATCTGAAACATGGCCACCAGTGATAAGAGTATCTGAAACATGGCCACCAGTGATATGAGTATCTAAAACATGGCCACCAGTGATACAAGTATCTGAAACATGGCCACCAGTTATACGAGTATCTAAAACATGGCCACCCGTGATACCAGTATCTAAAACATGGCCACCAGTGATATGAGTATCTGAAACATGGCCACCAGTGATATGAGTATCTAAAACATGGCCACCAGTGATACAAGTATCTGAAACATGGCCACCAGTTATATGAGTATCTGAAACATGGCCACCCGTGATACCAGTATCTAAAACATGGCCACCAGTGATATGAGTATCTGAAACATGGCCACCAGTGATGAGAGTATCTGAAACATGGCCACCAGTGATACCAGTATCTTAAACATGGCCACCAGTGATACGAGTATCTGAAACATGGCCACCAGTGATATGAGTATCTGAAACATGGCCACCAGTGATACAAGTATCTGAAACATGGCCACCAGTGATATGAGTATCTGAAACATGGCCATCAGTGATATGAGTATCTAGCCCTACCACCATGAGTAAATGATTACAGTCAACACAGGAAGTGAGTGGTAGTAAACAGGGGATGTGGTGGTGAAGAGTCATCAGATTGTGAACAGGACATTGTACTATTATTATACACTTTCAGCTTTCATTTCGTTGACTTGTGGTCGATATATATACTCTGGTAGTTAATGTAGTAATTTGTAACTGGACTTTGTTTCTAACTCAGAGCACATTTTCAAACAATTTAGCAGACAAAGTAAATTTTACTTAAAAATTTAATCATTTGAAAGTTAGTCTGTATAACTGGATCATTTTAGATTACAACTGCTATTGTGATACTTTTACATCATTACAACTACTGCGATACTTTTACATCATTACAACTACTGCGATACTTTTACATCATTACAACTATCACAACTACTTGGATACTTCTACATCATTACAACTACTGCGATACTTTTACATCATTACAACTACTGCGATACTTTTACATCATTACAATTACTGTGATACTTTTACATCATTACAACTACTGCGATACTTTTACATCATTACAACTACTGCGATACTTTCACATCATTACAACTACTGCGATACTTTTACATCATTACAACTACTGTGATACTTTTACATCATTACAACTACTGCGATACTTTTACATCATTACAACTACTGTGATACTTTCACATCATTACAACTACTGTGATACTTTTACATCATTACAACTATCACAACTACTGGGATACTTTTACATCATTACAACTATCACAACTACTGCGATACTTTACATCATTACAACTACTGCGATACTTTTACATCATTACAACTACTGCGATACTTTTACATCATTACAATTACTGTGATACTTTTACATCATTACAACTACTGCGATACTTTTACATCATTACAACTACTGCGATACTTTCACATCATTACAACTACTGCGATACTTTTACATCATTACAACTACTGTGATACTTTTACATCATTACAACTACTGCGATACTTTTACATCATTACAACTACTGTGATACTTTCACATCATTACAACTACTGTGATACTTTTACATCATTACAACTATCACAACTACTGGGATACTTTTACATCATTACAACTATCACAACTACTGCGATACTTTACATCATTACAACTACTGCGATACTTTACATCATTACAACTATCACAACTACTGCGATACTTTTACATCAATACAACTACTGCGATACTTTCACATCAATACAACTACTGTGATACTTTTACATCATTACAACTACTGTGATACTTAAGGATGATTCACCAATGAAAAAAACACAGTAATGACAAGCTCTTATATTACATAGCAGTGTTTGTATTAGATTGATATAGACATTATACAAACAGTCAAGTTGAGGAAGGCTGCAATAGCTCCGTCACTTAGGACTTTCTAATCTCAGGTGAAGCCCCAAGGTGCTTTGTTCAATGTTTAATAGTGATTTGTGTATCACAGCAAACTGAGCAATGAATGGTCTATATTGTCATTATTGTATACTTGAGTAAAATACTTCACTCTGATCTCTCTGGATGTGACCACCCTCTTGTATGTTGTTCGGTGAGGTAACCACCATCCACAGCAAGGACCCAGCTGTTTATGGGCAATAAAACCAAACGGAGAAATTGATGTAGCTATGCCAATAAGTAGTGCTGTGGTATTGTGTAAATATATATGTGTGTGTATATCAATATAATGGGTTGTCCTTTCAATATAGTATACATATCATTGAAATACAGGTGGTGTTGCTATCAGCATACTGCATCTGTAGATATTTTATGTGTAAATGTAGTGACTGTGAAATGTATATACCGGTATACTGTTGTAAACTTTATATATTTTTATTTTTAACACTGCAGTGTGTTTGTGATCTTTAAAATCTGACAAAGATCAGCACTAGTTGATTTATCTTTTATTTTGTATGTTGTAGCGTAAAATATATATTTGTATAAATAATTGAATTAAATATTGGCAATTAAGGTAGAATGAATATTGTGAGTCAAGGCAGCTAGTTAATGTATGTAATTGATGAGTGACAAAGACGATAATTTAGATACAGTATTGACATACCCCTTGGTGTGTTTCGTATTTATATTCAGTATCTATATTTTCTGTTTATATTTTGTACTTATTAAATTTGTTAACCTGGTGAAAACTCGGTGATATTAACTTCAAACACAAAATTATAGACATCAACACTGTCTTAGGTTAATATTTTTGTTTTTGGTCAATATTTGTTCACCATCTGAAAGATTGCTGATAAACATAATTTAGGAGGGTACCATAATGTGTTGAAAGCCAGGTATAAGTAGACTATATACCAGGGACTAGGTAAAAAATATCTTATTATTTATGACTCCAACAAACTTAAGATCTTATTTGTCTTTTATTTTCTTATCACTAAGAACAAACAAAACACAGACCCCGCGTTATACTTGCTACATACAGAAAAATTGGAATGCGGGGGATTTCCTGAGCTATTTTTAGCTTAACTGATAATCACTAGAAAGCAGGTGGTTATCACTAAAGTATTTACTAGTCCACACAGTTAGTTATGGTCATAAATTAGATAACAGATCTTCCTGAAAGTTAATTGGTAAATTTCAGTTAAATGTCTTTCAGCAGATAGAACTTTGGAAGGGAAATGACAGATTAAAAATAAGAGATATTGATGTGAAATCATTTTGTACCTTTTGGCTGTGATCCAACTAGGTAAATCTGAATTGTAGATATAATGTAGCTTCCTGTATATTACAGGGGGAACGCCCACTCCACCAACTGTTGGAGGCCTTGGGGGTCTGTTTGCGGGAGGGGTACCAAGATTACCCAGTGCTAACAAGAGACAACAAGGAGGACCAAAAGGTATATATATATCGGGGATCTTCATTGAACTTACATGTGTATCACAACAAGCCAAACATCTATTTGAAATACATTATTAAGCCTTTATAAATTTGTATTGAAATAAGTAAAAACTTGCTAAAGAAATAGTTGTATACATAAGTTGTTTTAGAGAAATATTTCTCACTATCATTTGTTTATCTAAATTACCTACTTGTTTTAAACATTATATTGCTTTGTTTGCATTTTTTACATTGATAGTTTTGAATATTATTTTTGATACTTCTTTTAAGCGCCCGGACCCTCTCAAGCCCTTCGTCCGTCTGGACCCCGCATGTCAAATGGACCATCAGTGATTTCTAATGGACCAGGAAGAAATGTGGGTGGACCTCCACCTCCTCCGCCATCAAATTTGAAGCCGAGTCTGAACTCTCGACCAGTTTCCAATGGACAAAGTCGGCCTGGCCCGCCACCTCCCCCGCCTGCCCAGAACAAGCCAGGTGCGGTTGGCAGCCCAGGAAAACTGTCAAATGAAGACAGAAATGGACATGTGAGAGGGAGCAATACCTCATTAAGTAGTATCTCATCAAGAATTTCACTTGGTGAATCGAATAGTTCTATAAACAATAATGCTCGCCCGAGGTCAGGGGTCATTGGTGGTGGTGTTCCAAGGTCACAACCTCCCCCACCCCCGAACCGACCTCCTCCTACGACAGCACCTGGGAAGCCTTCAGGACAATGGCCACCTCCCCCTCCCCCGCAATCGGCCAAAGTGCCAGGAGGCCCGCCCCCGCCACCCCCACAGTCGGCAAAAGTGCCAGGGGGACCGCCCCCGCCTCCCCCACAATCAGCAAAGAGTGGAGCTCCCCCTCCACCACCTCCACAGTCAGCTAAGGGACCTGGAAATCGACCCCCAAGTATGGTAGGAAGGCCCCTTCCACCACCTCCCTCACAGGTATGTTACATCTGGTTAAGTTTGTCAACTTGTATATTGTATGATTTACTGATGGAAGGGAAGTAACTCTTTGTTTTTCTCCTACCTATATGCCAATATTACTTGCTGCTGTAACTAAATTAGTACACTATGAAATACACACCAGGTATAACTCAGTAGTAGTCTGATTGGTGAGGTGAAATTTAATGTAAAATTGATTACAGTATTTCTCAGCATACAGATATTTTTTTATCCATAGATTTCATCAGATTCTCTCTATTTATTTTCTAGGTTTTGTAATTGCTAAGAACACAGAAAAAAAAATACAAAATATTAATTTTTGTTATGTAATTTGAGCTCACAGTGGGAACCTTGAGACTTTTAAGAGTACACGAAATTGTCTTTATTGTAAGGTGGCTGTCATAGTTATAATTCAATGATACACACATATAAGGATGTTTGGGAGACTTTAGTGATCTTTGAGATTGTGTACAAGGGTTATTGTTTTTATTGCTTGGTGTCCAAGACAAGTACAAACAGAAATTCACTTGCAATAGCTCCAGAAAATCTTTTTACACAAAGTTAGTACATATTCTGAGAGTTGCCTAAAAATGATAGCTAGAATACAGATGTATGTGTATGGAGTGTTGTTATCAGAAAACTAGGGAAAGAGATACATACACAAGCTTGCTTGCATTGAGTGAGACACTAAGTTAATATTGAGGTCTGGGTTGTATATACATAATATACCTGATACAGAAGTATATAAAGAAGCTTATGTGGAATAACAAGTCAGTTAAAGATAACTTACCTACTGAAAGTATACATCATGAGGTTTTATGTTGAAAATTCTCATATTAAACTGATACCTTGGAAATTTTACAGAATCATTAGAAAGATATACCAAATCTGTACTTGATGAAAGTCTTGTAGTGTTGTCTGCTGTAGAGAAATTTTACAGAGCCAGAAATATTGTGTATCTACGTTTGTCTGTGTGCCACTTACTTCCTGCTGTCATTCTTGTGGCTCTTCCTGTCAACTGAACGGAAACTTGTGAAGTGATGAATCTATAGACAAACACAACATCATGAAAGGCACAGCTCAACAAATCAAATCTAAATAGGAAATCTGTCTGCCATCTTTCATCTGAAATAAACTAAATTATCGGGGGAAAATATTAGAACTAACTTCTTTCTAAAAGTAATTTTCATTTCTTTCAATTTCACTGTATAACATTTGGGAAACGATATTAACTCAGTACTACATCACCGTCATTTAGAGGATTTTTATTCTTAAAAAACACTCACTACACATAAATTTTGCTAGATTTTTTCCCTATAGCTAATATTCATGAATATTTATGAAGTATATTTAGTAAAAGAAATTTTTTTTAAACACTCGCTTCACGTAATTTTTCTTAGTTTTTTTTTTTTTACTATAGCTAATATTCATGAATATTTATAAAGTATAATTAGTATAAAACAAACTTTAAACACTCGCTTTACATAATTTTTTTTAGATTTTTTTAAAGTTTTTTTCCCTATAGCTCATATTTATGAAGTATATTTAGTAAAACAAACTGTTTTTTAAAAACACTCACTACACGTACATTTTTTAGATTTTTGTTTTCACTATAACTAATATTAATGAATATTTACGAAGTATTTTGAGTGAAATATGAATATAGATGAGTCTGGCATTAATATGTATAGATAAGACGTATAAACAGGATGTGCTGACAGGATTACAGTGTCAGCCATGGATAGCCTTAATCGTCCAGCTGTAGCTGAATCATTTGATGATGATGATGATGATATTTTTGGTACTTACGGTGCTTATCTGCCTAGTGGAGATAAAAACGTAACTCACACTGTACCAAGGCCGATCTCTTCCTTCAAAAAACGTAGACCTCTTCCTGCTCTTCCTTCTGATGTAAAACCATGGATAGCAAAAGCTGTAAGTTATGTAGGAAAGATTGGTTGTAAACACCTGATTTTCTGGCTTACTGAATAGTCAGATGTCTGTGATACATATTAAATACTTGTTTACAGACCTGAATTTTAATCATTAAATTCATTCAGCCACTTTGTTGTGAACATTCAGTATTGGAGAGTTGCACTGTAGAGGGATACAGTCATGAAGTTGTGCTGTAGAGGGATACAGCCACAGAGTTGTGCTGTAGAGGGATACAGCCATGGAATTGTGCTGTAGAATGATACAGCCACGGAGTTGTGCTGTAGAGGGACAGTCATGGAGTTGTGCTGTAGAGGGATACAGCCATGGAGTTGTGATGTTGAGGGATACAGCCACAGAGTGCTGTAGAGGGATACAGCCACAGAGTTGTGCTGTAGAGGGCTACAGCCATGGAGTTGTGCTGTCGAGGGACACAGCCACTGAGTTGTGCTGTAGAGTTGTGATGTAGAGGGACACAGCCACGGAGTTGTGCTGTAGAGCCACAGAGTTGTACTGTAGAGGGACACAGCCACGGAGTTGTGCTGTAGAGGGACACAGCCATGGAGTTGTGCTGTAGAGGGCTACAGCCACGGAGCTGTGCTGTATAGGGACACAGCCACGGAGTTGTGCTGTAGAGGGACACAGCCACGGAGTTGTGCTATAGAGGGACACAGCCACGGAGTTGTGTTGTAGAGGGATACAGCCATAGAGTTGTGATGTAGAGAGATACAGCCATGGAGTTGTGCTGTAGAGGGATACAGCCATGTGCTTGTGCTGTAGAGGGATACAGCCATGTGGTTGTGCTGTAGATTGATACAGCCATGGAGTTGTGCTGTAGAGGGCTACAGCCACGGAGCTGTGCTGTAGAGGGCTACAGCCACGGAGTTGTGCTGTAGAGGGACAGTCATGGAGTTGTGCTGTAGAGGGCTACAGCTACGGAGTTGTGCTGTAGAGGGCTACAGCTACGGAGTTGTGCTGTAGATTGATACAGCATGGAGTTGTGCTGTAGAGGGATACAGCCATGGAGTTGTGCTGTAGAGGGATACAGCCATGTTGTACAATGATGCAGTGTATCAAGGGTTAGGTATTTGGTATAGTTGAACATCCTGAACTAGACACATTATTGGTGGTATTTATTGTATAAGGATCTGTAGCCAAAGTGGATTTAATTAAAGTTAGTTTGATCTGTTAGGACAATTTTTTGTACAGAAGTTTTGTATTTATTTTACTATAGGTTACTGTTAAACAAATGTATAACTTTTTAACAGACACTTGTAAGTTTTTCTGTGGTGGTACTGTAGATGTCTCTGGACTGGCACATAGTCTCATCCACAAGAACAGCAAAGAACACCAAAGATTAATTTCCTGGTAATCTTTTAACAACAGTGTCCAATATTACATATAAGTGGCCTCGCTGAATGTTGCGTGCACAGGTTTTTTGCCTCATCTTTTTATACACACTTAGGCCATTTGTAAATTGAGCACAAGCAGAGTAAACTTTTCTCTTTCTCATATTTGCAGTGCTGAATTTGTTGTGATGCCTTTTGCTGAGCAAGTACTGTAGTGTTCCTGTTTTGAACTGGTTAGCTTATTGTCAGAGCTATCAGGTTTAGACTGTACTGTACAGTGTTCCTGTTTTGAACTGGTTAGCTTATTGTCAGAGCTATCAGGTTTAGACTGTACTGTACAGTGTTCCTGTTTTGAACTGGTTAGCTTATTGTCAGAGCTATCAGGTTTAGACTGTACTGTACAGTGTTCCTGTTTTGAACTGGTTAGCTTATTGTCAGTGTTATCAGGTTTAGACTGTACTGTACAGTGTTCCTGTTTTGAACTGGTTAGCTTATTGTCAGTGTTATCAGGTTTAGACTGTACTGTACAGTGTTCCTGTTTTGAACTGGTTAGCTTATTGTCAGTGTTATCAGGTTTAGAGTTAGTCAGACACTCCGTCATACATGGACACTTCAAAAAATCTCTAACAAATATTGTGTGAAATAACGACAGATTGATAATATTGTTGTCTAAAAGTTGTTTTTTTTTTATTACTTCAGGGAGCACCACCTCCCCCTCCTTCAAACAGACCTCCTCCCCCTCCATTAGCAACATTAAAACCAACAGTGACATCAGGTCGGCCATCATCTGCCAGGACAAATCAGCCCCCACCCCCTCCAAGCCAACCTCCATCTCGACAAGGAGGTCCCCCGCCACCACCTCCAACAAGAACAACATCAACGCAAAACGGAGGGACATTGCCTCGGGCTGCAGGGGTGAAGCCACCTCCTCCACCAATTCGAGGCCCCCAGAGCACAGGTGCTATTCCCCCACCCCCTCCACAGAGGCGGTCGGGCAACTACTCCGGTGGAAGCGAAGGTGAGGTTTTCCCTAATGTGAAATTGCTGTTACTTTGGTAAAAATCTTCTTTTGATAAGCAGTTTATTTTAATGATAATAATTTTATATTTTTATTTTTCATTTGTTACTTCGAGGTAAAAAGCAATTGAACTTTGTCATGAATATTGAAGCTGAATTTAAAGTATTTAAGTAGCAGTTCCTTAATATTGACAGTAGAAGTTCAATCAAATGATAGTATAGGCAGAAGGAACAGGTCATATTCCAATCTGGACAACTTGTTTACATTTGGTATTAATTATTGAGAAACATAATCATTATTTACATCCCACATCCTTTATTTTCCTGGCCATGTGTTTGTTAATTTTTCTTGTAGCGTCAGATGCTTTCAGTGAAGAAATAGTATGTTTTAGAGTCGTCATATGGAAGTAACATTCTCAAATTTTGATGAAATTGAAAAACCTCAATTTAGAATTTTAAAAAAAAGTTTATTTTAAAAAATAACCTTTTTTCTTTCAGATTTTGAAAATAGATTCAGATTTCACAATGCAAATGAGTGTCCACCTCCGGAACCATTCAGTAAAATCAACAAGACATATCCAAGTAAAAATCCTAGAAATCCAGGTAAAAACACAGGTAAGTATGTTAGAAATCCAGGTAAAAACACAGGTAAGTATGTTAGAAATCCAGGTAAAAACACAGGTGAGTATGTTAGAAATCCAGGTAAAAACACAGGTAAGTATGTTAGAAATCCAGGTAAAAACACTGGTAAGTATGTTAGAAATCCAGGTAAGAACACAGGTAAGTATGTTAGAAATCCAGGTAAAAACACCGGTAAGTATGTTAGAAATCCAGGTAAGAACACAGGTAAGTATGTTAGAAATCCAGGTAAAAACACAGGTAAGTATTTTAGAAATCCTTGTAATTTACACATAGTGTAGCCCAACAAAAACACATGTGGCATTAAAAACCAGGTCCAAATCCTTGAAAGTAAAGCAAATACACAGATAAGTATGGAAGAAAGATTATTAAGCCTAAAGATCAAGTTAAAAACACAGGTAAGTAGTAATCAATGAGATAAAAATTCAGGTAAAAACACAGTTAAGTTAAAAACACTGGTAGATACATTGTTTAACTTATATGTACACACAGGATTAAAGGATAGTTTTCATATTTTTTAATCTTTCCCTGTTTCTGTCACACAGGATTTAAGGATAGTTTTCATATTTTTGTAATCTTTCCCTGATTCTGTCCTATATGATATTGTAAAATTTGACATGTAAAATTTGGATGTAGTGGAAGTTTTTGTAGGTTTTGTAAATTGCTATTTTAACATTTCTATACATAAAAAATGCAGAATGCCCAAAAATTGAAATCTACTTCTGAAGCCTGAGGTGACAAAGGAAATTTTTATACCATTGATAAGGGCAAGGTTATTTTTCAAAAGTTCGCAATGGAGAAAACTTGTGTTGGATAATATGCCTTACTTACAGTGAAATTCACTAGAAATTCTTTAGAAATCTTGATATAAATTTTTTTCATTTTCTTTATTCCAGGAGTAAGAAAACCTCCACCACCTCCTCCACAATGACAAGTTTGATTCCCTAGGGTTTACTCATCAATTCCTTTATATATGCAAAAGACTGTGTTTGCATTCAATGCCAATGAAGTGCAATGTGCATTACTTGTAGCAAGGGCAAGGACAAGTCTACAAGCAGCAGTCATTAACTTGTATCTAGGTCTGATCGACAGTAGATATCAACAGGATTGTCTGGATATGTGAATTCTGTCATTGACCTGTGTATTCGTTCAGCAAACTTTATACCAGATGAATGCTTCTGGTGTGTTCATCTGAACAATCTGCATTGGAGAAAGACATTAGTTTTCCAAAGGAGATGATCCTATTTCCAAGGGAGATAATCCTATTTCTTGTATGAACATCTGACAACTCTTGTTATAGAACAATGGTATCAGTTTCCCTTGTCAAGTTTATAAAAAATTCAGTGTTGATTTTCTATAAGCCTGTAGGTTTTCCGAAGGTTCTTTCTTCCTTTGCGGGTGATAGGTAAAGTATTTCCATGTCTTGAACAGGTCTTAACTTGAGTTAAAGATTTTTTTTAAATCAAGTGAATATTTAACAATGCAGAATAGCTCCCCAGCCATGTAAGATGTAGTTGGTCTGTTATTAAAGTAGACACCGTAAAACCTGCTCAATCTAAGATATTTTATATAAAATCTTATTTGGTCAAGTAAAGATTCTTTGTACGATGTGAAGAAAATAACTATAAGTCTTGTAAACCTTTATCATTTTCACACAGATTTTTTTATTCCTTATTTGAACTTAGGAATTGGCTTGTGAAAAACAGACTGATAGAGAATTTGTCATCTGTAATTTTATATACACTTGACTGATGTCCTGATTTGTTCTACAGTTTGTCATCTGTGATATGTAAATTTGTTACAGTTTATACCCCTATGTTCTTTATGAGTGCTGTTATACTTACATATATAGTATGTATTATCTACTTAAAGGAGAACAAAGGCTTTCACACGCTTCTATCAGCTAATGCAGCTTAATCATGTAACACAGCGTATATAACAAAACTTTTCAAACACAAAACATGTGAACGCTTGGACCTAAGCTTAAAGTGTAGCAATAGTGTGGAGCTTGTCTGTCTGTAAAGAATTTCTTCAAAATGAAATAGTTTTTTTTTTTTGTAGAAAGCAATTACACTTCTTTAATAAAAATTTAATCACAAAATGATAAATATGTCTGATATTTTTTCATGTTTAGTTTGCACGCATTTGCTTTTTTCCAATCATGAACTGATGTGATAATAATAGATAATTGTTTGAAGAAGCAAAAAATATTCACCTTGAAAACGTGTGTCAATGGTACAAATGATTTCATAAAACAAATGAATTCTTATGCGATGTTAAAATTTCAATACAAATTCCATTTTATCTTTAGGAGAAAACTACACTTTTTTTCCCCAAGTATATCTGATGTATTGTTTTTTTTTCAAATTCTCTCAATCATTCCTTTTTGTATTACACAACTTGAGTTGTGAATCCTAGATATTTTAACTGTATAATCAATATTTATATATATATAGAGACAGTATATTGTAGTGATGTGATAGTGATATTTACAAATGATTAAAAATCAACGCACACTGTTACAAATGCTAAATAAAGATGAGAATTTTAATCAGATATTAAATCCCAGTAAAAATTGTTTACAAAAAATCAATATTTTATCTCGCACATGTTACACTCTGACTTGAGATCAATATATTTGATAGAAAATTTAGTCTTTTTTCTTAGATGGCTGGACACCTTTGTCTTTTTGGTGTTTTTTTTATCAAACAAATTCCTTTAACAGAGAGGGAAATGATCCCAAAATACCAATTTTCAAGCTGCTGTTGTTGGAAACAGATTATATATAAAATAAATGTATATCATTTTATTATTACTTAAATTTATAAATAAGAGATATATAAAATTTTAGGCACCTTATCAAAGAAATCATAATTGTTAAATTTTCATTAATATTATGTGGAAAATATACATGCTAGTAACACTACAACATAATGATGAGGTATTGTTCATAGACATTTTATCATTACTACATTCCACAACTTTATTGATCTTGTAATAGATTTATCAATAGACATTGATACATAATAATCCTTTAATGTGTTAAGGATCCAGGTCATTGTCGCTCTGAAGCAAGTGTGGTACAGTTGCTGATTTTTCTAAAGAATTTACCTGAAAATGTGTGTAACAATTCTCAATTACAAATGCTGTCAAAGAATTTTGTATTTTTTGGATGAAAACTTAACACATAATATTCAGTTGAAGGCTACCTTGATGCAAAAATTCATCCTGAACACTCATTGTTACATATGATCATCAGATTTGGTTCTCAGTTATTTTATACAGAATGTATAAATTTATATTTAAGTAATACATCCTTTTGAAAATGTTTAGAATCACAATTTAAAAAATGCTATTTAATCAATATATCAATTGGTAGACGAATAATGTACTGACAACTGATTTAAAATCTGGTTGGTGTTTTTATTGAAATTGTTTTATGGTAGACTGGTAAATTTTCTACTAAAATAAGTACCTATATATTTGCCACAGGAAGTTTTGCAAAGAGATATTAAAAACGTGATTATTTGAAAAAATATTTATTCTCAAATTATTATCACAGAATTCTTAATATAGTTATACATTTATCAAAAATTCTTAGTCAATTGTTAAGATATAATTATAAATGTATTATATTCTCAGGCGATGAAGAATTATAAAAAAATACATTTATTGTTAATTTTGTATTTGTTTAAAGATTTTATAACGACTGATAAGGAAATTTTAAAATGTGTTAATGTATTAAAACAATATACATTTTATCATTAAAAGTACGTAATGTGGTGAATAAATTTTGTTTATATCAGACTAAAATTCTTAAATGGAAAATTGAAATACTATAATTCTGCTTTATTTGAAAAGGGATGATTTTATAGGAAGTGGTATAAAATATCAATGTATACAAGGTGTATTTCCTGCATGTGATTGGTTTGGGATACGGGTTAAATAGGTAGGTGTAATAAGTCAGGGGTGTAATAGTTCATTGGATTCAATGTGTGTTACTGACAACTTCATCTGTGTAGATAATTACTTACTTTGTGTTCAACCAGTGATCAAACCCATGTTAGTAATGAAAGGGGAGATTTTTTTTGTCTATTTGAATAACACAGCATTTGAAATTCTTTTCCGTTGATCATTTTAATAATTATATATCTTATTCTTACTAATCTATTGTAATCACCACTAATAATTAGTTGTTAATATTATAAAAATGCTAATGTGAAATTTATTAGTTTAACAAGAAATTGTAAAAATTGAGATAATTATTAAAAAGTTTTAGTTAAAGTAATGTAGTCTATACACTTCAGGAGTTTGTAGTCTATACATTTCAGGAGTTTGTAGTCTATACACTTCAGGAGTTTGTAGTCTACACACTTCAGGAGTTTGTAGTCTATACACTTCAGGAGTTTGTAGTCTACACACTTCAGGAGTTTGTAGTCTATACATTTTAGGAGTTTGTAGTCTATACACTTCAGGAGTTTGTAGTCTATACATTTCAGGAGTTTGTAGTCTATACATTTTAGGAGTTTGTAGTCTATACATTTTAGGAGTTTGTAGTCTATACATTTCAGGTGTTTGTAGTCTACACACTTCAGGTGTTTGTAGTCTATACATTTTAGGAGTTTGTAGTCTATACATTTCAGGTGTTTGTAGTCTACACACTTCAGGTGTTTGTAGTCTACACACTTCAGGTGTTTGTAGTCTACACACTTCTGGTGTTTGTAGTCTACACATTTCAGGAGTTTGTAGTCTACACACTTCAGGTGTTTGTAGTCTACACACTTCAGGTGTTTGTAGTCTATACATTTTAGGAGTTTGTAGTCTACACATTTCAGGAGTTTGTAGTCTACACACTTCAGGTGTTTGTAGTCTATACATTTCAGGAGTTTGTAGTCTACACACTTCAGGAGTTTGTAGTCTACACACTTCAGGAGTTTGTAGTCTATACATTTCAGGAGTTTGTAGTCTATACATTTCAGGAGTTTGTAGTCTACACACTTCAGGAGTTTGTAGTCTACACACTTCAGGAGTTTGTAGTCTACACACTTCAGGTGTTTGTAGTCTATACATTTTAGGAGTTTGTAGTCTATACATTTCAGGAGTTTGTAGTCTACACATTTCAGGAGTTTGTAGTCTATGCATTTCAGGAGTTTGTAGTCTATACATTTCAGGAGTTTGTAGTCTACACACTTCAGGAGTTTGTAGTCTACACATTTCAGGAGTTTGTAGTCTATACATTTCAGGAGTTTGTAGTCTACACACTTCAGGAGTTTTGTAGTCTACACATTTCAGGAGTTTGTAGTCTATACACTTCAGGTGTTTGTAGTCTACACACTTCAGGTGTTTGTAGTCTATACATTTCAGGAGTTTGTAGTCTATACACTTCAGGAGTTTGTAGTCTACACACTTCAGGAGTTTGTAGTCTACACACTTCAGGAGTTACACACTTCAGGAGTTTGTAGTCTACACATTTCAGGAGTTTGTAGTCTACACATTTTAGGAGTTTGTAGTCTACACATTTCAAGAGTTTGTAGTCTATACATTTCAGGAGTTTGTAGTCTATACATTTCAGGAGTTTGTAGTCTACACACTTCAGGAGTTTTGTAGTCTACACATTTCAGGAGTTTGTAGTCTATACACTTCAGGTGTTTGTAGTCTACACACTTCAGGTGTTTGTAGTCTATACATTTCAGGAGTTTGTAGTCTATACACTTCAGGAGTTTGTAGTCTACACACTTCAGGAGTTTGTAGTCTACACACTTCAGGAGTTTGTAGTCTACACACTTCAGGAGTTTGTAGTCTACACATTTCAGGAGTTTGTAGTCTACACATTTTAGGAGTTTGTAGTCTACACATTTCAAGAGTTTGTAGTCTATACATTTCAGGAGTTTGTAGTCTACACATTTCAGGAGTTTGTAGTCTATACATTTCAGGAGTTTGTAGTCTATACATTTTAGGAGTTTGTAGTCTACACACTTCAGGTGTTTGTAGTCTATACATTTCAGGAGTTTGTAGTCTACACACTTCAGGTGTAGACATCTGGAATTTAAATCATATAACTGTATATTAGTATATTGGACATGTGGTTAACGTTAAAACTTTCTATTTTGTTCTTGTATGGAAATAAGAGGAGATATGATTGTATTGTAGATAAGGAGTAAGAGTTCACAAAGCCTGAATGATTTGTGTATTTAGTGTGTATGAAAGATGAAATTTATCAATGTAAGCATGGCTATATTCTGAAGCTTGGGGAAGATTGTGTGACAACGACTTGTTTAATCTACAGAGATCTTCCAGCTTGGCCTGTATAGAGGGGTCAGTTATCTGCTTGTGTGCGTGTGTCCCTCACACTGTGTCGCTAAAGCTTCAGGCTAGAAAGCTCGCTAGTAAGGTTACCAAGCCTTTTTTCTGCTGAGCAGAATCTTCAGTATATGGATGTGAAGCAGATAAACAGCAATAGTGATGACTTCCTGTCATCTTGGTTATTTCAAGTCCTCCTCTTGTATAATAATTATATAGCAAATGATTAAATTAATATTCAACTTGATGTGAGGTATTTTGTTAATGACTGACAAAGACAACAATGTTCAGATGTTTGAGGAGTTCTGTGCAGTAGGATTATTAACAAATTAACAATGGATATTTTGAAATCAGAATCATACATGATTTCTTGTAAACTCAGCCATTATGTTTTTTTAAGTTAGAACCCCTTAAACACTGGTTGTTTTTGGTTACATTTTATAGCAAGATGTGTTTTTATAAGAAAGGAAAAAAAGCAAGCACTTGTCAAAATTTTATATGAAGTAGTGGAATCGAAAACTTCTAAAAGTTTGACTTTGTTCTAGAGTGTTCTGAGGTTGCTGATGTTGATGAAACATAAAACAGTTTCTGTGTATCACTACCTATTATGAAAACAGAATTGCCAAAAAATTTGACCTGACATTTTGGAAAAAACAAGTGAAAGACATGATAACTACCATTAATTGTTGCTTTTTATCACTGCTACAGAATCCATCAAAACTTTGCACTTTCATTTCACTAGATATCCCCCAAAAAAGTTCATAAAACTTTTCTTAGTTTTTTCTGAAAATTTTCAGATGAAAAAGTTCTGACTTTGTTTTAATTATGACAGATG